GAACCCAATAACCAGAGCTTTAGGTTTTTATGTTGATAAATCAACTTATGTTGATAAGTCAAAGGCAAAAAAGGAAAGTATGTAGGTTAGTTAACCAGGTCCTGTAATGAAGGGAGGTCATCAGCGCAATCTGAAAGGGATTTGTGAAGTGGATGCAGCTGTTCATCAAATTCCCAAGTAATCTAGTACAAAGGTAAGCAGTGAGATCAGAAATCTTTATAATGATTTTAAGTTATTCACAGTAATAAAGATGAGGGCTGATTGTGAAGAACTGAGGAAGGCTATTATGGGAAAAAAAATTCATTGGCTAATAATATGGCAAATGAAATTCAGTGTAGAGGAATGTAAATTGAGGCATAAGAGAAAAAGTAATTCTCGCTAAAGATATAAAATGGTGACCCCTGAGCTAACTATTATAGCCCAGAGGCAAAATCTTGAGGTTACTGTACTATAAAAACATCATCTTAGTATTCATCTTAGTATTCTATATTGTCAAAAAAAAATCAAAGTTATAAGGAAAGAAATAGAAAATCAGAGAGCATTGTTGAAAAACCCATAGTGGGCATATATCAAAACTGGAAAAAAAAAGTCCAAGGAATGGCAAATAGATACCACAGCTTGTTTATGCAAAACAACCTATTAAGCTAGAGTTCATCAATCTGAAAAAGAGATGAATTAAAGTGAATATGATACATGGATATGACAGTAAGAATATGCACAAGGATAAATTGTTTGCTGTCTCTTCAGTAAAGGCATCAAATTAAGTTAGCAGGAAACAAACAGACAAACAGAAGGTGAGTGATTCCTTATACATTGACCACTTTGCCAATGAATGCTGTGAATACTATAAAAGTACCTACAATAGAAAGGAGATTGGGCAAGTATAGAGTAGAGAATATTTCATTAAAAACAAAAACATATACAGTTTGAAAGGAAATTAGAGGAAACTCTCATATAAGATTGGTTTGTTCTTGCTGTTTTGCAGATTTAGAACCTGATTCCTGCTTTGTTTGCAAGGAAATATGTTCATTTAAGAATATCAAATACTGATGTCAACAGCATCAAGGATCACATGGACAGACCAGTTCTCTAGAACAACAATAGCAGTTGGTGTGAAAATCTCTCCAGGTGATATAAGTATCATTTATAGTATAGTGTCTGCATGTGACCTTAAGAGAGCTCAAAACAACTGAAGATTGAGAACAACAGTATTAGCAGTCTAAAAGCTAACTACGTTTGGAAAGAAGTAGGAAAGAGGGGTGTTCTACCTCAGCAGGAGGCTGTGAAGGATGAAGGAGACTGGATGTTCTCTGCCTTCTATTGCAATGCTCAATACCATCCAATCCTGAAGGCATATTCTTGATTCCATGTGAAAATCCATGTTTTACCGATGCTCAAGGCCCAAGTCTCTCACAAAAATACAGCTGCAGCAACTTGTCTGTTTTTACAGAGATGATCAGGAGTCTACCCAAAACTAACTGTCAGAAACTTTAGCCTGGAATCAGTTTCTTCCTCAACTTGCACACATCCTTCCATAGGAAGACTGTAATTGCCACTTTATAGGCTTGTCCAGGTGAAATCCAACCTTTTTTTTTTAAAAAAAAACTACCCTACTATGTCAAATCCTGTGCTTTCTGTCTCGAATCCACTCTCTATGATAACAGAATGCACATTATATGAGTGCAGAAGAGCATGTCAAAGCAGGTACAGTATATACTTCCCTGCCTGCAAAGATGAAAAATCACAGAGATAGAGTGTTTTGAACCCACTCCCTCCTTCACAGTCTTATTTAGAACAGCCAACACTTGCTACAGACTTCAGAAAGGGTAATTACTGATCCTAGAAGTTCCTAGCTGGAGGTACAAAGGAAGAAGCTTCTTCCCACACTCACTCCCTGCGCAGAGACAGTGCAGCCCCATTTCCATTATACTCTAGAAGAGTATTACTGATTTTATTGGGAACTCAGCCACAACTTGTCGTCAAACTGGCCAGTGGACTAAGAGGTGGTGATGGGGGTGGGGTTCACTTCTGCCTTTTAAATCCAAAACAAAAACAACAATCCAAAACATATATTTCCATTTAAAGTACTTTCCTGGTTTAATAAACCTTTTCTTGCTGTACTGAGAAAATATGATTTTTTACTGATTACTCATTTTGAAAATTGAATTCCATCTGTTTTGTTTTATCGTTGCTTACTTCCAAAGTTCCCAGTAGAGAATAAGATCTTAATTCCAGTATGGTTCAGATATACAAAAGGCAATATTCACTTTTTGATTTTCTGGTGGATGGGTGACTTTGCAGAACTCTCTTAAACACTGGAAAATAGAAACACTGCAGTGTCCCTCACAGCATCCTTTTGGATAAGCTCCAGAAATGGGGGTTAGATGAGTGGACAGTGAGGTGGATTAAGAACTGGCTGGAAGGCAGAGCTCAGAGTGTTGTGATCAGTGGTGCAGAGTCTAGGTGGAGGCCTGTAGGTACCAATGTCTCCCAGGGGTCACTGTCCTCAGTCCAGTCCTGTTCAATTTATTCATCAATGACCTGGATGAAGAAACAGAGTGCACTCTCAGCAAGTTTGCTGATGATAAGAAATTGGGAGGAGTAGCAGATATCCCAGTGGGCTGTGCTGCCATCCAGAGGGACCTGGACAGACTGGATAACTGGATGGTGAGAAACCTCATGAAGTTCAACAAGGACAAGTGCAGGGTCCTGCTCTTGGGGAGGAATAACCCCAGACACCAGTACAGGCTAGGGACTGACCTTCTGGAGAGCAGCTCTGCAGAGAAAGACCCGGGCATCATAATGGAGGTCAAGATGACCATGAGGCAGCAGTGTGCCCTGGTGGCCAAGAAGGCCAACGGGATCCTGGGGTGCATTAAGACGAGCGTCTCCAGCAGGTCGAGAGAGGTGATTGTCCCCCTATACACAGCCCTGGTGAGGCCACATCTGAAGTACTGTGTCCAGTTCTGGGCTCCCCAGGACAAGAGGGATGTGGAGCTGCTGGAGAGAGTCCAGGGCAGGGCTACCAGGATGATCAGGGGCCTGGAACATCTGCCCTATGAGCAAAGGCTGAGAGAGCTGGGTCTGTTCAGCCTGGAGAAGAGGAGGCTGAGGGGGGACCTGATCAGTGTGTATAAATACCTCAAGGGAGGCAGTGAGGAGGAGGGGGCCAGCCTCTTTTCAGTGGTGGCCAGTGATAGGACAAGAGGAAAGTTCCACAGGAACTTAAGAAAAGTTAACAGTGGCAACACTTTTTCAAGGAGAAAAAGAAAAAAAAAAAGAAAAGAAAAAGGTATGTTTCCTAATGCAGTGTGAGTAATACTACTGGAGCCCAAAGTATGATGGACATGACTCCTCTGAATTCAGTTTAGCTCATCAATCACTTTTCTTTATATATTTGTTTAAAATGGTGGAAAACCATAAAAAAAGATGTGAAGTTAATAATATTAAGAAGTAGCAATGAATTTTACTATTAATTTTCTAGAAATCCACATTAATTGATAAGTCAAGGCACCAATTCTACAAAGTCTGTACTGTAAGCTTGTTTGAACAGATGATTTGCTATGTGTTGAATTTTCATGGCCACCATTTCAGAGAATGTAATTTGTCTCAGAGGAGCCACTGACACATACTGCACTATATGCTGACAAAAGCCTTGATGCTTTTTATTTTCCTTGCCTGTTGTATAGTCAGTTTCAAATAAGAAATGCATGAAGCATAAATTGAGAGAAACTCAAATGACTCTTCTAAGATTATTCCAATAGACTTAGAGACTTCAGTCTTCTAACCTTATAGTCATTTCTACTTCAAACTATTCCTATAATATTTTATCCTAACACATATCACAATCCTGAAATTCCTCCCCTGAGGAGGAGGAGGAGGAATTGTTTCTTTGCTTTCACTGAGATTGCTGCAGTCACTAGCTAAATTTTACAAACCCTGAGATTTTTTTTCCATTCTTTGGAATATGATATTGGATAAACATTCACTCTTATGTAATGCTCTCTGCATTAATGAACCCTTCCAAACTAATGTTGTTTATTTTGCATTAATAAACTGAGGTGTCAATGAATCATTAGAAAAAAAAAGATTAATTTAAAACAACTCTGTAATCTTAAACATCATAGACCTGTTCTTTCTCCAATTCAAATTAATGTCTTACTAATTTCAGCTATTTATGTCACAATTGTAACAGTTAAAATTTTTACCTACATTAATCATAAAAATCTAATCTTACTAAAAAAAAAAAAAAAGAAATAAAAATGCATTCACTTTTCATTACTTCATGTTTAAAAAAATACCTTTCCTGAACATTCAAAACATATTTGCATGTACTTGTCACAGTTAGCTGTCATTTTCTGTGTTTCTTTGTCTACAATCTTTGGCTTGCCAGTTTTTCAGAAGAGTACCTTTGTAAAGACAGTAATTCAAGTGAAAAGAAGCTTCATGAAAACACTGAATCTTTTGTTAGAGTTTATTCTTCTAAAACCTAAATTAGAGACATACGATCTAATGGTTTCACTTCAAATAGAGTATTCACATTCTGGCATATAACTGGCTCTCTCTTTTTCATTTCCATCCTTCTTGATCACATCATTTAGATAATTTTTCTTCTTTTCTCCTTTTCTCCTTTTCACTAGACATGTTTCACTTGAGACATTACTCTGTCTCATTCTACGTCAAGTCTTTACATTAGTTTCATAACAAAGAAAGGACACAGCCCTGTCCTCACAGAAGTCAATGAAAAGTTTGCACTCACAGTAGAATGAACAGAGTTGTATTTTGATTCATCTTAACTGAAATTCTCTTGGACTTCCAACTAGTTAAATACCCTGCCATTAAGCCTTTGTTAATTCTCTGCTTACCTGGATTGAAATACTGGTGTTAGTTCAAGACACCCAGGCTTCTCCCTCCACTTCTCCCAACCCCTCTCTCCATTGAAACCAACAAACATATCTTTTTGCTTTTCTTTTAAAATGCAATAATATCATATTTCTTACCATCCATGCTGTGACAAAATCTCCCATCCAGGTCCCCACTGCAGCTACCTTCATAAAATTTTCATTCCTGATGCCCATGAAGTCTGTTATTATGTATGCGCTGTGGAAACAAGAATGCAGCCTGTAAGCTATACACATTTGCTTGATTCAGTTATTGAAAATTTGCTTTAGCAACAAAATTTATGATTAACTACGAAAATCTTCCCATTTCTTCCTCGCTAGAGACTTAATCTGCTAGATCTGAGTGTTGACATAGTATTGAACCAGGATGAAACACTTCCAAATAGAAATGGAAATGTGAATTTGATTTTACAACTCATGTCCACTTCGAAGAGGCTAAATAAAAGACAGAAAAGGCTTTAGAATTAGATCTAGAAATACAAACTATTTTACATGTTTTAATTTTCCCTTAATAAAAATGGAATTTTCAATTTCAAATTTTTTTTTGAATTGGTGACTTTTCAAAATCTTTATGAAGAAAAATGAATATCTTTAAATTCTCTTTATAAACATAATTGATCCACTTGACTTTTTACTCCACCACTTACGCACCCACATGTTTTTAACATAACAATATAGGCAAGCTTTGCAGAATTTTAGTGAGAAGCTGCTGTTTCTTGGTTTATGCATCATAATGTCATATGTGTTTTTTATTTAAATCCAAGGACAACATCTCCACTATGCTTAAATAGCATATAGGTAGGATTTAAAACATCATGCAGTAAATTCACCTGTATTCAGAAGTTCAGTATGATGCTATAAGGACAATTTAGGAGCTAAATTTACTTGTTCTATATTAACATTTTCTTGAGAAAAGGCATAACTTCATTTCCTTTGCTAAAGGTTTTTTATAGTTTTAGGAAGACATCCGCCTCCTCAAGAGTTAACACACTGAATAATGGTATCACTTGTACTTTAATTTCTCAACTGCAATCAAGGCATAGATTTCACAGCCTGTAAATACAGCCTATATAAGGTTATGTATATTTAAGGATGTATACAACCATCCAGTTGCATGTAACAACCTTCTTGAAGAATATGTTAACAACATATTATCCATTAATTAAGTTTTACTATTATTATGTACTCAATGTTAGCATGTCTAGGAGCTACTGGACCAGTGTGATTTGATCCCACTGCCTTCAGCAGTCCTACTAAAACCTAAAGATATGGGACCTTGCTGGCACAAATCCCCGCATCGTACTATATCACTGCCTAGAAGCAATTTCATATAATCTGGAGCAGAAAGTATCGATGTCAATGAATAGTTTCACAACAGAGTATAAAACTGCATATGCTAATTGCTCTTTTGGTCATATGCAGTGCTGATGTTTTAGCTAGTATGACACTAACAAAAACAACATTTATTTTTTAATCATTTAAATAACAGATAAATGCTGGCTTAGATTTTCTGTTGGACTTAACAGCATTTTTAAAGATATTTTTAATTATGTTACATGTAGTTCATGAGATCACCAATTTTGATCTCTGTTTTTTTTGAGTGGTAGAAGTGGATTTAAGAACACAAAAATGGCTATTCTCGGTCAGTATATGGTCTAGATGTGCCGAAGCCTTGTCTCCCAAAGACAACAACAGCAGATACCAAGGGAAAACTGTAAAAACAGGCAAGCCTACTTCTCCCAGATAATCTCTCCCAGATGTTTATAATTGGGAAACTTTGGAATTCCCTTTTATCCTGTATCTTGTATGCATGCATTCTTGCAGTATCTGTGAAGGGCAGACTGTATTCTGTAAGCATATGTATCATTAACAAAAGAGGTACAGCATGAATGTCAGAAGCAGAAAGATACATAATTCTAAAACTGGGTCCAAAAAATGCCACCACAGGTTGCTACCTATTTTCATATTGTTGCAAAATATAAGTTAATAACAAGGAAATGGGAAAAAAAAATGTTAGAACACTATGTGCTAGATCACCTTTCTGGACTTAGCAGCAGAGTGTGCACAACACAGGCAAAGAGTAAAACAAGTGGTATCACAAAGAAATTTTTCAAAGAAAAGAAAATTTCAAAAAGATTTCTTCAAATAGGGGTGACTTTCTAGGAGCTGACAAAATGAATTGTAACTTGAAAGCAAATGGAACACTTTTTAAAGTTGGATACAGATGTCCAAGTCACTGCAATGCCATGAACGTTATTACATTTACTGAAGAAAAAGTTGATATTCAATTCTAAGGTGATGTCTTCTCGCTCATCACAGGAATGTAAAGTTAGGATTTAGTTGGAGGATACTTAAATTTAAGCATAAGCAATGATTGCAATCTCCCAATGGAGCCCTAGTCAGTAGTGTAAGCATAGAGCAGAGCTTGATTCATCCTTATGCTAATGTAGAAATGCTGGATGAAGGCATCAGTTGCTTGAGGCTACTGTAGGACAGCTAACACCTCAAAACTTCCCAAGTACCAAAAGCCATTGAAAAAGCTACGTGACTTGTTCCCTTCTGAATGCCATGACATATCCTGGCCTCCATCTGGTAATCCCAGAGACTGACACATCCAACAACCTAGACACATCTGATCTCCCTAGATCTATAAATGAGAGGTTAGTAACACAGAGCACAATTCTGTTGCCAAAGTGTAGGCAACTAATGCCATTTTAGGCACACTGAAGCATTGACATGCATCATGGCCTTGCCCCACCTTCAGCTGGCCTTTTTACACACTCACTTCAGGGTATCTAAGACACGGGACTGGACTATACAATGTTTTTGTACAGATTGTACAAGAGCTGCCACATACAGAATAGTAGCTGACAGTTTTCTTGAAAGGAAAAAAGACCTGAATGCACAGCAGCCAGACCCTATGCTTACTAGCTATCCCCTGTGCTTACTTTGGCAGTACAGGTGACACCTTTCCCGTGACACCCGAATGGAGAGAATTAAGAGGCCCTGAACCAGCTTTTTGCTTGACAAGGTGTCAAAGAGGTAATGGCTGTGGGAGGCTCTGAAGGCTCCTCTCCAAGAGTGAGATAACCAGAATTCAATAACGGCTGGACTGCAGCGGGGCTCCCTGGAGGTATCTCCACAGCACAGTGCAAAACACCTGAAACCAGTGGAATGATGCTGTATCTCAGCATTGGTTGGGAACTTATTCACACATGTTTTTGAAATCAAGTAACAGAAATGGGGATCTGAAAAGCTCTGCTCATCAGTCTGTAGACCTGAAGGCTGCCTAACTCACACCAGGGACTTGGCTTTTAAACTCCAGGTCATTTAAAGTTCTGCTTCTAGGTATGTATAGGACCAGCTCACTCCACAGGAACAAGTAATTTGCTCCAAGCTCACTTCCTATATTGAATGAGTTTCATAAAGTGTTGATTCCTCCACTTGGCTTTCCTCCATCTGTGAAAGTTTTTGCGAACTCAACCACAACAAAAGAACACACCACCACAACACTGAAAAATCCAGTAAATGGTACTTCTCTGTTAACAAAGGAAATGTGAATGCACCAAAGTTAACTGGCAGCAAACACACAGGATCAAATTCCTTTTCCAAGGAAAACTTAGAATCATAGAATCATTATGGCTGGATAAAACATACAAGTTCATCGAGTCAAACCATAAGCCCTGTAGAGCACCATGCCTGCTAAACTATGTCCCTAAGTGCCTCATCTACACTTCTCTTGAACACTGCCAGGGATAGTGGCACCGTCACTTCCCTGGGCAGCCTATTCCAATAGGCTTGACTACGATTTCCATGTAGAAATTCTTTCTAACGTCTAATCTGAATCTCCCCGAGAGCAACTTGAGGCCATTTCCTCTTGTCACAACCGTAGTTATTCTGGAGAAGAGATCGACCCTCCGCCTCACTACAGCCTCTTTTCAGATAGTTGTAGAGAGCGATAAAGTCTCCCCTGAGTCTCCTCCTCTCCACACTAAATAACCCCAGCTTCCTCAGCTGCTCCTCGTAAGGTCTGTGCTCCAACCAGTTTCATGGCCCTTCTTTGGACATGCTCCAGCACCTTCATGTCAGAAAACTGCGTCTCACTGTTAGACCCAATTAGAAAAGCTGAAGATTAACTCCTGCTAGGAGAGTAACTTTGTGTGCATGAGACGAGACTCCCCAAGAGGATGAGAAATGTGGATTTCAAAAACCTTTAGGTGACCAGGAATGGAAACTCTAATTTTCATGTCTTATGTGAATGCTCCAGTTGCTGAATCAAGGAGGGAGCTCCCCTTTCCATCTTTCAATATAACTAAAGAGTTCTCTTTACTATGGTTTTAGAGACATGAAATAGATGCACTGGGAAGGACAGATTTCTGCGTTAGATCACAGGAACAATCTTAATTAAGGTGTTTAAAACAAATTACAACAGGCTTATTCATGTCCGCAGTCTACATCCTTTATTACAACTGCAGGATTTCCTTGCTCACTTTGTAGGATTTTATGAATCCTGCTTCAACACATCCAACAATCCTGTGATTCTGTAAATACTAAAAAACTTGATGCCCAGTACAGGGCCATCATGGACTAGGCAGTATTCATATTGATTAATGTTAGCCTAATAATGCTGGTCTTCCTAAACTATCTTCATAATGGATTTGAGAGCAATTCAGAGCAGAAACTTAATTTCACTTACAGGCATCTCTGAGGACCAAGAGACTGAAATTTCTACAGGATATGCAAAAAGTAATTCAGAAAGCCAGAGCTACTGTCAGGGAATCCAAGCGTCTGCATCTCTGCTGGGATAATTTCAGTGATTTGCAAACTTTAAAAAGATAAAGATCTCCACTATGGCAGGAATCTAGCCTCTGTGGGCTAAAAATAAACTTTATGAATACTAGCACCTGCTCCCAGTGGACTTATCATATAAAATTGTCTTTTTAGACCTAACTGTAAATGACACAAACAGACCCAGGGGGAATATCACTGGCTGAGTCGTCAATGCTCTGATTCAGAATGCTGCACTGCCTCTACAGTGCAAAGCCCTGACTACAGATGGGATAGTCTGGCAAATGGAACAGAAGATGCCTAACAAAAGACTTGGACAAATAACAGGCACATTAGGGAAATCTCAATGCATTGTTTAATACTTTCCATTTCATATCCAGGAGAAAAATCTATGTTCTTAAAATGCAGGAT